CGGTGACTCGTAGTGAATTATAATGTATTTACACAAAGTCAACAATATAGGTGCAGTAGAATAATATGTAGCATGAATATATATATACTACTTAGGGAACATTTTCTTTGTTCGCAGTTCTGCGGCGTTTGTCTGCCTGTTTTGCTGGAGGCCCAGAAGCCGAACGTTTCCTCGCAGAATTGTTTGGAGCGGGTAGAGAAATAGCGAGTGCTTGCTTCTCGATTTGAGGCGCGCGAGAGGGAATAGTGATGTGTAGAGGGGCATCCCCTTCATCCGGAGACTCGTCCTCCGAGCAGCTAGATTGCGACAGCTCGTCGGCACCTTCACCTTCCTCTTCCTTACGAGCATCAATGATCTGCGAATACTCCGGCATGACCTGGGTCAGAATCGCAAATAGATCCTCGCCGAATCTCTCCAAAAAATCCCAGTCATGCATTACCCCCCATAGTCTGTCGAGACTGGAACACGCATGTGCCCGGTCCAGAATGCGGTCCAAGAGGTGCTGAGGGAGGACCATCGCAGCAAATGTGCCCCTCCTTTCGCCTCGGATGATGACATACTTCCTCGCTCTCCACTGTACCAGAATATTCTTGAGAGAGCCTTTTAATCGGGTGTCGAGTGGCCGGTAAGTCCCGTCAGCGCGGATCGTCTTTGTCTTCTTGCCCTCCTGCACCAGCTTGAAATGATGGATCCATGTCGCAACCATGTCCAGGTCGCGACACTCGGGTTCGGGCTCGTGCAAGGAACAGCAGCCAGGACGTAGGACAAATGGCTCCCCATTGTATTTGAGGTCAGCAGCACGAGAGCAACATTCCGGAGTAGGATTGAAAAATTCCCGGGTGACGGCCGGCAATTTCTGGCGTCGTTCCAGATCGGCGAGGGCCTGCTTTTTGACGATTTCAGAAGCAGGGACCTCCTGGACCCAGGCAGGAGCATAGACGATCGCAAGCGCCGACTTTCCATCCCGGCCTGGGCGTCCCATTTGCTGCTTTTGGATCTCAGGTCCATCTGCCAGAGAGTCGGCAGTAAAATGCGCAATTATGACACGCTGGAGGGTGGGTATATCTGTTCCGTATGTGCAGGTCCCTGTTACAATGCCGATCCGCAAGGTCTGCCCCTCAGTGATGTCCGCAATAAACTCGCGCCGATAATCGAGGGGCATGAGGGAATTGTAGAGTTTTATTATCCCCAGACGATTGGGTATCTTGTGGGAGATCAACGTGTCGAGGAACTGCATGAGTCGGTAACCAGCTTGGATGGTTTTTACGAAAATGAGGGTGAGCAGTATTTCCTGCGCCGACAGCATATCGAAAGGGACAACAAAGCTGAAGTCGAAGAATTGGAAGCCAGAGATTGCGTGGGCAAAAAAACGGGGGATATATTTGATATTGGGGCGATCCGTTGAGTAGCGCACATTAACATACTGGCTGCTCCGAAACCCAAGTGCGGCGGCAATGGCAAAAGCTCGGACCGGAGTCGCTGTGGCGGTAACTGCGGCCCAAACGGTGTGGGAGGGCAGGCGGGGACGAAGGTGGAGAATAGCCTTGTATGGCTCTTTGAAAGTCCCGCTCGCCTCGTCAATAACGTGCGCTTCGTCAATGAGCATCCACCGTACGGCAGACTTGAATGTCTGGTTACTCAGCAGCTTGTTGACTCTCGAGCTGCGCAGCATCTGGGGGCTCATGACGCCCACGGAAATGCCATCCCCTCCAGCAAACTCGGCAAAGAGGTCGCGTTTTTGTAAGCCCGCTTCTCTGACCGAATCTTCGTTGATTGCAAGTGCGCGGAGCCCGTTCCTTTGGGCAACTTCTGCCTGTATAACATACTGAGGGTCATTTTGATTCCATCTGCCTGTAGAAAGACTCACCTGCTGTTCCGCGAGAACTTTCGTCGGCACTATCAAGAAAGCTATACCCCTCTCCTTCCGAGCCTGTGCCGCTATAAGCGGCGCGTGGAGGATTATTGTCTTGCCCTTCCCCGTGGCGATAACAAGGAACAAATCGTGTCCATCGACCAGGTCTTTCCCATGTACGAGCTGATGCTGATAGACGTATGGAATGCGACACTTCTCTCGGAGAAGCGCGTCGAGCCACGCGAGGGAGTTGACAGGAGGGTCAGAAGAACCAGGTGACGTAGATTCCATTGGGGATGTGCGGAAAACGAAGGAGATGCGAGGGCACGCCGCGTTTGCTCGTGGACTTGTACGCGTCGACGCGTCTCCGGTGAAAGTCTCAAAGGGGCATGATTCGATCAGTCTGATGCATCAACTGTCATGGCATGCTGCGGCCATCTTTTTTTTCAAACTCCGAGGCACTTCGTACTCGCTACGGTTATCAAATCCCAGACTATCTCCGCCTGCGCTTTCGTCTCGAAAACTCCGTACTTGTTCGGCATTGTCCTGCGGCCACCACCGATGCGTTCTACACGACCCTAACTCAATCCTGTGTCTACAGGTCTTGCTTTCCCATTCTTGCCCCCCAACAAACTAAACACTCCACGCCGAGAGCTGACCACCTCCGATTGACCCAATTATTTTTTTGGGGGGATCGGGGAGTTGTTCTGAATGCACGTGACGATGTTCTGTATCCCGCAAACATGTACAAATATCCGCAAATGGAAACTCATAAAGTTCCACCAAATCACCATTAAGCACTTAGCCTTCACTCAGAAGTGACCTTTGAGTTGCCAGAAAAGTTGGCATAGGCTATATAGGACTTAAAAATAATGCCCTCTTCAGTTTTTCTCTGATGGCACATCAGCCGCCGCAAGCAGCAATTTCCATTTTTGGACCATTTCGTGTCTCACAAGGGCAGCAGGGTTCGAGTACCTTCAAGAAGCGTCCATCAGGACTATATATATATAGGTCATGTTCCGCCAGTCATCGGTGCTTCCAATGCCCCCAGTGGACAGAAATCACCTGATTTGTCGCAGCCTGTGGCTATGCACACAGCCACCGTCGAGAAAAGCGCTTCGGCTACATTTACGAGACTTCCTGTGCCTTAATCGAGTGGTGGAAAGGCAGGCCAAAGTTAATGAGCAGTATGATAGACATTAAAAAAAAACAGCTGCTAGGATTCCGCCCTGGGGCCGGCCATGTCTGAAAACAGTGGCTGTGCAAACCAAGAAAAATGTCCGCGGTGTCGGAGGACCAAGCCGTAGGGGGGGAAACTGGTCCTATTCTGTGTGCTTTATCCCTCATAGTAAACACACGCCGATTGGAGGCTCCACTGCAGGTGTGGAGTGCGGTATGCCCAGCCACCCTATTTTGATGGGCTAGATGAGGGTGAGAAGTGCTCCAATGTGAATGACGGGATTTCAGGCATTTCTACCGACTATGGGACAGTCATCTGGATTAATAGAATATTACTATGCAGTTACTAGGCAGCTGTTGACTTAGCACCGTTTGTTAAGCCAATTTGACTTTGAGAACTCATCTACTCTGGTGGGACTATATTGGGGAGTTCACATAGAAAGTTATAGGGAGCTGCGACACTTGTGGATCTCGCTGTGCCCGGCCCTCTGTCATTTAGTGGATTAATCCAAAATCCAAAATCCACCGCGCCATTTTTCATTCCCATTTCACTTGAGGACACTTTCTACCCTGGTGAGGATATATCCAGGAGTTTCTACACCGAGACATAGGGAGCTGGGACTCCTGTGGCCTTCGCTGTGCCCGGCCTTCTATCATATGATGTAATTAGCCCAAAATAGAAAATTCGCCGGGCCATTCTGCATTCCCACTTTGCTTAGCGACCCTTTCTACTCTGGTGAGGATACATCCAAGAGTTCGAATCCCAAGATTTAGGCAGCTGGGACTACTGCTACTGCGGCCTTCGCTGTGCCCGGCGCTCTGTGATCTGATGCGATTAATCCAAATAGAAAATTCACTGCGCCGTTTTTCATTCTCATTTCATTTAAGGACACTTTCTACCCTGGTGAGGATATATCCAGGAGTTCCTAACCCAAGATTTAAGGAGCTGGGACTCCTGTTGTTCTTGCTGTGCCCGGCCCTACCAGTTTGTCACCCGGTTTAGAGGGTCAAGACAGTGGCTATGTCCCTGGCTATGTCCACGGTGGCTATGTCCATCCGTTTTGACCTTCTAAACGAGGTGGCAAACTAGTAGGCCCCTCCGCGAGCCGCCCTCCCCCCTCGGGGGGGAATATCTATAGACCCCGAGGAGTTCTTGGACGCATACTTAGATGCGATATATGGTGGGATTTGCAACGCGCCTCCAGAAGTGACTGCCACTTCAGCAGCTAAGTTTCTTTTTGATTCCTTGCATGCCAAATACTCGAATGAGTTCGTTCCTAGTTGGGGAGGAGTTCAAGATCCAGTCCGAATTCACAGGAAATGTTGGGCCATAACCATAAGCCCACAGCTGAGTCCTTTTAAACTCTCGTCGCAATCGTCCAATGCATCTGAATTTTACTCTTCATTTTCATCGAGTGCCTTGCGCTTCACGAAGGATACTTTGCGCCGGCTACCTGAGTTCCATGTCCAGAATACTACGCTGATGTGCACGGAAGAATTCATATTTGCGAATGAAGTGATCACTTTCGACTTTGAAGGACAGTATTATACTCAAAGTACCCCCCTCGACGAACCTGCACTCCCACCTTTTTTGTATTTGATCCCGAACATGACGCCGGAGGCCATGCAAAGACATTCGGAGCTTTGTTTCCTCATAGTATATTCAGGTTACAAGGTAAACTGATATCGTCTTTATGGAGTAATAATGTAACTCGCTCTCACCTACTAGATCTGAATGCTCGAAGTGCATTGGGACAGTCGGTGGTTTGAACCTACCTGGAGACATATGTCGGAGTAAGATATTTATTTTACCTGGCCAACTGTTGGTACTGGACTCTAAATTATAATCATTCAACCGAGAGGCTATGCAAAGACTTTCGGACCGGAATTCACACCAAGACAACCACAGCCTTTTTCTCCCAGGGAAAAAAGCAGGGAGTATATCCGAGGTATGAGGTAAGCCGATATTGTCTTTGTGGAGTAATGCAACTCACTCCCATTTGCTAGGCGGTAGAAGGAAACATGCAGCCACGGGAGAGTTGGTGGTTCGATTCCACCTGAAGACATTAGCGATCCGTAGTTGTGATTTTATTTTTGGCCGGACCGGCTAATAAGGATGGGAAGGTATATAGATATTCAGGATTCCAGCTCTCACTATTTGCCCACTTCTGTCCACACATTCGGTGAGTCCATAACGCATTTAAGCCGGTGGTTCAAAGACATTGCATCAACACACTCTTTTCCTCTTGGCCCAAAATTAAAATTGTGCGTGCATCCAATGCATACGGTAAACGGATACCGTCTTTGTGGAGTGATACAACTCACTCCCACTACCACCGGTTCACGCAGTAAACGGAGGCTGGTGGCTCGAGCCTACCCAAAGACATAACTCGGTTGCATCTTTTTGTTTACCCGCAACCAAATGAGGATGGGATGTATTTATTCGGGGTACGAGGTAAACCGATATCGTCTTCATGGAGTTCACAATTTGCTCACTGCTAGGACTAAGTAGTTCCCTCCACACATTAATCTTTAATATTAATATTGAGTCCCAGCCGGTGATTTGAAGACATAACAGCCACACATTCTTTCCCTCCCAGCCCAAAACCAAAACAGCATTGTGGGGGACTTATCCTACATACAGTGTAAGCTCATATCGTCTTCGTGGATTAAATATAAGCAACTTACTCCCACCCGCTCCGCACACTAAATCCATAGCAGGAGAGTTGGTGGCATTGTCCGCCAATGATTCTTTTTTTTCATTTTCCTCCCAGCCCAAAATAATATTGTGGGTTGTGGGTGTGTCCGAGGTACATGGTAGGCTCATATTGCCTTCGTTGAGTAATTATTACAACTCACCCTCACCTGCTAGATCTGCATTGGGAGGGCCGGTGGTTCAAACCCACCCGAAGAAATTTGGATAATGGCTTCATTTTTTAGCGTCCCGGCCGACAAGTCGGGATGGGAAGTTATGAAGGATTCAAGCCTTGAGTTCAAGTTGTGCCCAATTTTCCATTATTCCAAGAGATTCGGGGGGATCCGGCCAAACTCCTATCGATGAAGTTTGTTCCCTCCCACAAAATAAAATTGTGTATGGGTGTGTCCGAGGTACATTATTGTCTTCGTGGAGCAATGCAAATCACTTCCACCCGCTCAGTCGTCACATTGAAGCCATACTGGGAGAACCGGTGGTTCAAGTCCACATGAAGACATTATCTGATTGTAATTCCAAGCAGCTTTTTTGTTCTTTTCCCTGACGAGCATGAGGATGGGATTTGTTTATTCAGGTTAGGATATAAGCTGATATCGTCTTTGTGGAGTAATGCAACCACTCCCTGGATTGTATTATTATTATGGTGGTTCGAATCCATCTGAAGACATTATTTGAGAGAAAGCTTTTTTATTTCTTTTGTATTTCTCCCCACCGGCAAATGAGGATGTCAAAACTTGAAAGGCATGAAGGACTCAAGGCAAGTAGATATCGTCTTTGGGGTGCGCCATGAGGGCTTGGTTATATGCATTCCTTTTGTAGAGTTGACTGATATTATATTTATGCCATGGTTCTTATGGCCAAGAGAGTCAAGTACACTCATGATCAGGAAAATTGGACCTAGGACTTTATGGTTCTTGTTTAGCTTCTGAGAACCATCATTTTCCTTGAAATAAATGTGAAAAATGAAGGAAACTTTTCACCAATATTTTACTGAAAAACTTGAAATGCTTGACTATTAGATTTGGGCCGGACTGACAGAACATGGGTGCTTTGGGCCGCACAGTCGATCAGGCACTGGCAGAGGAATTGTTACACTTTTTTTTCAATGTTGTGAGTCTAGCTGCTCAGGAAGGAGTCTGGATACACTCTGTTTAGTGGCTCGTTTTTGACATGCCACCAACATCAAACAAGAAAAATCTCAGCTAAATTGAATCGTTAGGTGCATGGCAGCAGAATATAGCAAGCTGGTCCTGAATCCGATGCATAATAACACTCAAGTCTGTCCACTGAATTCACCTGTGAAATTGCCCCAAAATACTGGGGATAAATGTTGCTACTACAAACTACATCCGAAAGATTTTTGAAAACAAAGTTTTGTACAAGCACAAATGCTGAACTAAGAAAAATTAACAGACACATGTTTAGCAGGAACCTAAATAAATGTGAGTCTTCATAATGAAGTGTAAAAGAACTAGGATTACCACTCTAGATTCCCAAGTGGATAAATGGTACCCATCGTTCATATGGCACTCTGGCATCCTGCATCTTTCGAACAGCAAGCTGCAGTGCTTTTGCAGCCTCAGATGCTCGAGGCCTTTTCCCACTGCCCAATAAATGGCTGTAGACAGCTTCTGCAACAATGGGCCCATCCTTATCATCCATGGACGACATGGTGGCTATAGCTCCCTGAAATCCTGCAGCAATGAAACCACCACCCAAGTGAAAGGACTCATTCACCAGTGCAGCATCTCCTTTAGCCGTCTGGCATGCAGCAAGGAATACAAATTCAGCATTTGGAAGAGACATCTGGAGAATAGTCTCAAGCTCCAAAGTTCCACCATAGAGCTGGAGGCAGCTTTTTGGAGGCTCCATGATGTTCTGCTCTGCATGACAGGCTAGGTGGATCCAAGCACAATCATTCAGTGTCTGCTTGACTGAATCTACAGTTGTGTTTTCGCCAATGAGACTTCGAACCTGGTATTTGTCCCCAGCAATGGAGCTAATCTTAGTGATTTCTTCTTCAACTCCGGGGAGTTCTTGGTCCCTTCGGGGACCAGTGTGTGTCATCCCGACCAGGCCAATGTGAGGTGGATCAATTGAAGGTGTCTTGGAGTTCGCTTTGAGGAGAGCCCCCAGTGTGGGTGTATATGACTGTATGAATTGATCCCCAGGGTCTGCAGCATGAAAAGGCAAGCCAGTGAAATCTCCTGTAGGACACCACCACAATCTGCCAGAAGTGATACCATTCTGGGAAAAAGTGAATAATACATTTGACAAGATGAGCAGCACTTACAGCATTTAGGGCAACATAGATTGGCTGCACAATACAACTCCAGACCCAGCTCAAGAAGCCATCCAGGCCCACTTCTATCCCTTCTTGGTATCCATAAAGACGGGTCTGTGGTAGTTCCCTGGATCTCACATTACGCCCCTTGATCAGATCTCTGAGGAGACTTTTTTGTGCTTTTAAGTTGTCGACAGACACTTTTGGCAGTGCAATGTGCAGTGGATCTGAGGTCGGATTGAGGAGTATAATTGAGTCACAGTGATCATGATGGGAATTGAGAATAACAATGGGCCCATGTTGGGATACTTGACACAGATCTGTGTATGGTTTGGGGCGCATAAAGTTCTCGAGGCCTGGATGATTTCGAATGTCATTAATCAATGTATTTCGATCTGCAGAAACCCTCTGTGGATACTCAGCTTTGCCACTATAAAGGTCTGCAGACAGGAGTGCCAGCTTGTCTGCTTCCTGTTGGGGAAAAAAATCCAGGTTGGTTTTCAGTTGCAGCAGCTGCTGGAATGTGGTTCCCAACCCTTGTTCAAAGAGCTCTATTGCAAGTGGGAGATTTGAAGAGTCAATGCAGGCAGTAATAGCATAAGATGTTGCCTGGGAAACATTGATTCTCATGTTTAAATCTTGACAGACTGATACAGGGCTTCCAATCCAGAGGATCTCGGGTAATAGATTGAAGGCAGCAGAATAGGATTTTAAGATGTCAGATGGTCTGTGGGCTTTTGCAAAGGAAGCCCAGTTGAGGGCTGAGTGCCATGAGTTCAGGATGTGAAGTGTTGCCTTGAAAAGAGTTGCTGTAATTTAATAGGACAGCCTCGAGGTCCTTCACATCACCTGATCTCTGATATCGGCCTGTGAACGATACTGCCAGATCCTGGAGACGTCTAGTCTCGGTGCCAGTCTGTCATGACGTCCCAATTTGGGAACCCTGTCATGACAGTCTGGGCTTATCCCAACCCATTAGCCGTACCATTGCGCTATCAAAACTTGATGGCAATTTCTCACGATGTCACATGGCTTAACAAGGAGCTCTTTTGTTCAAATCAGCCTTGAATTCCATAAAAATGGGCAAGATTCATGACAATTAACCTGTTGTATGATGCATAGCTGCAAACCTAGTCCATCGACAGCCTGGATGTACCCAGCGAATTTTTTGGGACTGACTGTCATCTCATATGACGAATCAACTGAGAATATGAACAGTACACTCCCGCTTTCTCGCCTGTCATGCTGCGAGTCACCAGTGGTCCCTGGGTACTTACAGCTTAAATAAGTATGGAAAGGCAGAGTATTGTGCACTCGAACGAGGCAGAGGACGATGCGACCTCGTGAGAAATTACCATCAAGTTTTGATAGCGCAATGGTACGGCTAATGGGTTGGGATAAGCCCAGACTGTCATGACAGGGCTCCCAAATTGGGATGCCATGACAGACTGGCACCGAGACTAGGAGACGTCCAGCCAGCTCTGGATGCCCCTCAGGTGTCTGCTCCACAGCAGCCTGATTGTTCTTCAGTGCAGCCCCAAGGTCCTTGACATCCCCTGATCTTCGATATCGGTCTCTGAATGATATTGCCAGACTGTGGAGATGTCCAGCCAGGTCTGGATGCCCCTCAGGTGTCTGCTCCACAGCAGCCTGAATGTTCTGCAGTGCAGCCTCCAGGTCCGTCACATCACCTGATCTGCGATATCGGCCTATGAACGATAATGCCAGATACTGGAGATGTCCAGCCAGGTCTGGATGCCCCTCAGGTGTCTGCTCCACTGCAGCCTGATTGTTCTGCAGTGCAGCCTCGAGGTCCTTCACATCACCTGATCTTTGATATCGGTCTGTGAACGAGACTGCCAGAGACATGAGATGTCCAGCCAGGGCTGGATGCCCCTCAGGTGTCTGCTCCACAGCAGCCTGATTGTTCTGCAGTGCAGCCTCAAGGTCCTTGACATCCCCTGATCTTCGATATCGGTGTATGAGTGATCCTGCCAGACTCTGGAGACATCCAGCCAGGTCTGGCTGCCCCTCAGGTGTCTGCTCCACAGCAGCCTGATTGTTCTGCA